AGAGTAGTGAAAGGTTTTCTCCAGGTAGAATTAGTAAGAACCCTTTCAGCTTTTCTTTCTCTTAGACGTCTATCAATACTGATAGACAGTTGAATCAATGCATTTAAGGTAGGAGGAAGTTCTGTACGAGAGAGTTCATCTTTCACAGCTTCAGATAATCCGAGACGGAATTGATTGCGTAAAGTAATGTCATTCCATTGGGTTTCTGTAGCCCATCTTTTGAATTCTGCAATATAATCTTCAACAGGTCTATTCTTTTGGTGTAATGTTCTGATGGTTAAATCAGCAGTAGTTTGTTTAAAAGGATCTTCATATAATAAAGACATAGCTTCAAAGAACTCATCCAATGAATCCAATATGGGATCATCATTTTCCAAAAAGGAATGGGCCCATGCCATAGGTTCACCTCTTAAAAAAGAGATCACTGAACAGACTTTGGATCTTTCGGTGGGATAAGATCTAGGTTTTAAAGCAATTAGTAGTTTGCAAGAATTCAAAAACTCTCTGTACTTTGTTCTATCTCCATGAAATTTTTCTGGATTACAGACAGCAGGATCACCAGCCGATTGAAGAGCGGCATGAGGAAGATGACCTTGAATGTCTCTAACATAGGTTAATATTCTCTCATTTGTAATTTGCAGTTCCTGTAACCCTTGAGCAATCGTATCCACTCTATTGGTTAGGGCAGAAACTTGAGAGTTAATATCTGCTGGTTCCATTGAAAAAGGCTGGATTATTCTGTAATACTTATTTTGTAATATTTCTTTAATTGGAACTCAACTGCAGCATTTCTTGGTTGCAACAACAATAAGGTTCACCTCCTTTTATATTGGTATGAAACTATGGTCACTGTACCTTTAAATATCCATGTAGGTAAAATTAGGTTTTGTAACAATCCCTTATGAGTAAGAGGAATAATTAAACAAAGTGACACTTTAGTGAGTTTTAGATACTGTGTAATATAAATAATAGTAATTGACTTGTTTGGTAAAAGTATTACTTAACTTAAAGGCAGTTCTGGCACTGGAAGGGTTAATTCACCCAATGAAGGAGAAATTAGAAGTCCGTTTCAACAAGCTGAGAACTAGGAGTGGAGAGTGGGGAAGTCCGTTTTAACAAGCCGAGGTCTGGGAGTGGAGAAGGTAGAATTCAGAGTTACAAGCCGAGGTCTTGGAGTGGAGAAGGTAGAAATCCGTTTACAAGCCGAGGTCGAGAAGTGGAGAAGGTAGAAATCCGTTTACTAGCCGAGGTATAGAAGTGGAGCAGGTAGGATCAGAAGTAGAGCAGCTGATCTTCATGCAGCACCTGTGCGAATAATCCAGCCCTTTGAATCTGGCGCGGTCCTCCTAAGTATCGTGGAGGGACCGCGTCAGAGAAAGGGGCGGGGCTGAGCGCCGTGAACCCGGAAGTGGGTTCCGGCGATAAATTACATGCCATGCTATACCTGACAGTCAGGAAACATAGCTTTTCCACAAACACAACGCACAAAGGCTACAGGCAGACCCCCTTACACACAACACACTTCAAGCAGCTATCCCGTACACATACGGTTCCAGACAAAAACGCAAACATGCTCAGAGACATACATTCACACACACGGATACTCTCTGTCACACACACTCTCAGGCACATACACAGGTAAACTGTGCATCAATGTGTATATGTGACAGTGTTCATGTATTGCAATTTAACTTTTTTGTTAATGTGGCCTCATGTTTGATTTTCACCTAAGGCCTCATAATGTCTATAGTCACTTCTGCCTTTCAGTCAGTGATTGGTTGTTTTGTTGCCTGCCTCAGAACTCCTAGTGTTTGCTTCCCTGTGTTTCCTGTCCTTGCTGGTTTCCTGATTTTTCTCTGATTGCCACCTGCCCTGACTTCTGGATCATCTAACTCTGATTTCTGCCTGACTCGTCTTTGAGTACCTTTGCCTTGGATTTTCTATTACATTATTAAAGCCCCTGTGCCATCACTGACCCTACAGAATTCTGTTCTCTTCCTCAGGATCTCGGTGGTCCATACTTGCTGTTACTGCACCTGAGTTCCAGGATCGTATATGACCCCAATGGATTGTTACAGTGATAACCACTTCCTAAAAATATTCTTAACTTGTGCACTCTTCTAACTGCCATTGCATTGCCTCCATCACCCACAATGGTTCTAAGGAAAAAAAAAAAAGTAGAACAAAATTCATTAAACATTATTAATTGCTTTAAACACTTCCATTTAAATTTTCATCCCAGGTGGCTTTCCTCTAGCTCAGCTGCCATACATCTAAACTGAAACATACATTTGTCATTTACAAACTCTCAATCTATTCTGATTCTGAGGTTGCACATTTAGCACTTCTATGTCATTTCTGTGGCACACATACGGGTAGGATCATGAATTTTCTTTACTCACAAATTAAATTGGATATACCAATCATTTCCTTTTATTACAACTGAGTGTGCATTATTATGTTATGTTCTTGCATGGGATTTAGAAGTTTATGAAGGAGGGTTAAAACATATATTTGTACCTCAATTAATTTACACGGGATATAGTACCATTGCTCAGTAAATTATATGTTTGCTATAAAGTACCTATGAACATTTGGAGAGAATTATATTGGTTTTAATTGTCTGTCCTTTGAAGTTGGTTTTAGCAAGCACTTGGCACACAACAAAACATATGCAAACAGAAAAGTATGTTACTGTTCTCCTATTTTTACCATCTATTCAAAGTAATCTTCAGGGATTACAGGAGGTAAATGGCAAAGTTAAATGGAAAATTATCAACCATTAGTTCAAAAAAACTTTTTAGTGCAAAATATGAAATCTCCTACTGGCCCTGCATCATCGTTAAGCATTAATTCAGGTCTTTTAGCTGTTTGACAAATTTAATAAACTCTAATGGCCTATATTTAAGAAGGTGAGACTTGTTTGCTAAGTGGTTTACAGAACAAATCTGACAACTAAGCTGTTTTTCTCCACTTTATTTCTGCCCATTATATTCAGATTGCTACATGGTGAAGAGACTGGCAGAGCTTAATTATAGTTGTAGGCCATAAAACTGTCAATGTCAGTGGTGAAACATCTAAGGAAGTGATTCACTAAAGTTCGAATGGGGCAAAACCATTTGGCTGCATATGTGGCCATTCAGATTGCAACTGCTCATTAAATTTAACAGATTTATTACCTCAGGACCCAAAATTTGGCCCAGAGGCTTCAAATATGAGCCTAGATTTTAAAATAAATCTGAACTGTTTGCACACTATCAGTGCTAGCAGACTGCAGGCCAATTGTTTAAAACCCTCAGCGACATGAGGGTTACATATGTGGTGTTTGGTTGGAAGAAGTAATAAATACATAAACAAAAAATTCTATGGGGATCAATAAGACCCCGATATTACTAGAATGGATGTAATATTCCCCCACTTGCTGCAAATCTCCTAACATGATAAAACAGTGACTGGGCAGACATTGACAAATAATAATGGGGAGTGCATAGTCCCCCCGTGCCCCTACCTGTGGGCATCGGGTGGGATACTTTGAAAAAGTAACGAGTGGTGGACAGATCACTGGCCACCCTCCCGTCCACATCTGATTTCTGACCGAATTTGACTTTAGTAAATCTGTAAATTGCTAATGCCAAATCTGGTGTTTAGTGAATAAACCGGAAATTTAGGTTTTCTACTACAATTAATTATTTATCTGTAATAGTTTATTTAAATATTAAAGCGACAGGGAAATACTAGACATGTGCAAATCATTTCATTCAGAATCAAATGAACTGAGAACAAATTCAGAACAAATTGAAACAAAGGAGGGGGCCGGTAAACTAAATAGTTGGTGAAGAAAAATATACACCACGTACAACCTGTGCTTTTATACATACTTATGTCACTGAAGTAATCCAATAGTAAAAACCTCAGAATAAAAACAAAACAAAACAAATAATAGCACAATACAATTTAGAGGTATACGGTAATTAATCCGTCTTATTTTAGGATTCACTGTTATTTACCAAAGCTATATCAGAGCTCTGCTCTTACGAGCAAGGACGGTATAATCACTATCTTAGGATGTAAGTTGGTCCAGGTAGCAAGTCTCCAGATGAGGTGCAAATTTTCAGAATATATAGGGAGATAAAACTAGAAAAGCTCCAATGGCCTCTTCAAGGCTTCATCAGAAATGTGGTCTGGTTCGCAAAGTCCAAGTTTATATAGATAAGTCCTGATTGAGAATTTTGAATGCACGCTGGCACGTAAAGACCTGCTGAGGCAACCAATGTTGCATGAGTGCCATGTCACTTTGTTATACTTACTAGGTTTGTGAATCCTCTTACTATTTCACTGCTGCCCGCACTTGTATTCTGTATTTTTATTATAGTGAGCGCCTATTATCTTTTAGTTTTCTATACAACTTAATAGTTAGTTAAAAACTATAGTGTCAGGAATACATGTTTTTTTTTTCCAAGCACTATAGTTCCCTTGTTTGGTATCTTAACAGGAAATTGTCACAATAAAGTGTACCATAAAAACATAGAATGTGACGTCAGATAAGAACCATTTGGCCCATCTAGTCTGACCAATTTTCTAAATACTTTTATTAGTCTCTGGGCTTATCTTATCTAGAATAGCCTCATGCCTAACCTAGGCATGCTTAAACACTACCACTTCAGCTGGAAGGCTAGTCCATGCATCCACTACAAGTAAAGTGATACTTCTTGATATTATTTTTAAACATTTGGCCTTCTAATATAATACTATGTCCTATTGCTGTGGTAGTTTTTTGTCTTTTAAATATAGTCTCCTCCTATGCTGTGATGATTCCCTTTATGTATTTAAATGTTTCTATCATATCCTCCCTGTCTTGTCTTTCATCCAAGCAATACATGTTAAGATCCCTTGACCTTTCCTTGTACGTTTTACCCTGCAATCCATGCATCTGTTTAAAAGAAAGTGTTACTCAATTAGCTGGCGATACGATTTGGCATGAGAAAGAAACAAAGCAATAATATCAGAAGTGGGATTCAAACCCACACCTCTTGGGGAGACTGCAATCTGAAGGCAGTGTTTTAGAGCACTCAGCCATCCCAACTGACTTGTTCCTCCCAAATTACGAGAACTAAAATACTTAGCAACTGAAAGTTAAGAAAATATTTTTTTTGTTTCTTAATTTTGACAGCCATTTAGTAGATAGCTAATTAATAGATAGCTCCCTATTTTAGTATATATCGTACATTACACTGATTTACCATTTTTTGGTTTGTCCATTTGATTCCCGATTAATTTTCTATGGATGATATTTGACTGAACAAAATCGTCAAAATAAACAAGTGTAAGACACCCCAAACAAATTTCCTTTTTGAGAAAAAATGGTTCAGCCAAACCGAAAATGTTCTTGTACACAGGTTTATTGTGTACATGTACGCACACACACACACACACTATTACATTTGTATGGATGTATACTGTGTGAAACTGGACACTCGTGAGTTAACATTATTTGATGGCTTGAAAAAAGTTGAATAAACTGAGTAAAATCAATAATAAACCTGTATTTTAATGATTAATACATTGCCCTGGATGCTATGAAAACCATTTTTATATTCATTGATTTAAGACAGAATGCAGAAGCCTACCTGCAAGCTTCAGTGGCATGCCCCATATATTAAAATAATGTCCTTAACAAGTGAGACGTTAGTGTATGATATGTTACATGATTGTACAGAGGAGTTGCTGCCACAAGCACAGTGTCATAATTTACTGTAACAAACACTGGATAAAAAGAAACTCATGACAGTATCGATTATTAAAGGAGCTCCTATGCACAGCAGGAGATGTGAGTACTTATTTGATGCCTCTGCCTATAGAATTTCTAGTAGAAAATCTACTAGGAAAAAGAGGATTGCCATCTTTAGCCTGTTGCCTTAGGGGTTTTTATTTCATTTTGTACTTGTTTTCTTTTCTTTCTTTTGTTTTAATTTATAAACCTGTGTTAGAAAGCTGCAGATTTGTTCATAAAAAAGAAAACCCAATACCAACAATTACGACTACTCATGAATTCATAAAAGCTAAATTATTTTATGTATGATTTCCCAGACAGAAAAAAAGAAAAAGTTAAAAAATGCATAAATAAAAAAAAATTAAAAAATAAATATATGAATTTCACAGAATTCTACCTAATGCTCATCTGCAATCGATGCAAGATCCATAAAGATTAAGTTAGAATTCACATGTAAAAAGCAACATTGTATCCTCTTCACCTTTTAGACAAGAGAATTCTTCCTACAACTGAGGGCCTTCTGCTGAAGTGAAACACTCGAGTGCTGGGAAAACATTGATGCAATATAACAGCAAGAACAGATTCAGATCAAAAAAGGTCTGGTTAAAGACAGTACATATGCCAGCCCCAAGGTATTTGAAATATTTATACTTTGCTACATTTTAAATCTTTAAGAGATTCAGAGCTTTCTCCAGTTTCCAATTCTTTGTGCTTTGCAGCTGACAAATATCAAGCGTGTCTAAGAAGCAAAAGTAGCAAAAAAAAGAAAAATAACTTTGTGTAATCATTTAAACATAGATCGAGACGGGTTGCGTGCTGAGTACTAGAGAAAGATGGCAGTGTGGTAATATACATCAGCTCAATAATGGTCTTGGGGAGTAGACATTAGTGTATTTGTCACATGTATTTTTTTTAACAAAGATGAATTATTAATTAAAACTGCTTTTTTGATAAGTTACAATAAAATTATATTCTTATTTTCCCAGCCTAATTCTTTTTGTCAGCTCTAAGAGAGTTAACAGTAACTCAGTATGGGTGAATCCTGCTTACCTGTGCAAATATTTTTGACTAACAATTTTTTCTCAAACAGTGGGAGTTGGATTTTGGGTGCTGTAGCAAATCCTTCAACAGTTGTACGATTATTATTATTATTATGATATTTATAGAGCGCCGTCAAATTCCGCAGCACTTTACAATGGGTGGACGAACAGACATGTAGTTGTAACCAGACAAGTTGGACACACAGGAACAGAGGGGTTGAGGTCCCTGCTCAATGAGCTTACATGCTAGAGGGTGTGGGGTAAAATGACACAGAAAGGTAAGCATAGTATTAGACTAGTGACAGTTGCAGAAGAGGAATCACTCAGGAGCTATTAACAGTTTAATTGATACGCTTTTATGAAGAAGTTGGTTTTTAAAGATTTTTTGAAGGAGTGGAGACTGGGTGAGCATCTAACGGAGGAGGGAAGCAAGTTCCACAGGAACCGTGCAGCCCTGGAAAAGTCTTGAAGGCGAGCATCAGAGGTGGGAGTACGGACAGAAGATAGACATAAGTCTTCAGCAGATCGTAAGGGCCTAGACGGGACATACTTGTGTATAAGGGAGGATAGATAGGTGGGTGCAGCATTATGTAGAGATGTGAAAGCAAGAACCAGAATTTTAAATTGAGCTCTATATTTTATAGGAAGCCAATGTAGGGACTGACAGAAGGGTGAGGCATGGGAGGTGCGGGCGGACAGGAAGATGAGCCTCACCACCGCATTTATTATGGACTGTAACGGCGCAAGTTGGGAGCACGTAAGACCACTGAGAAGCGAATTACAGTAGTCAAGGCGAGAGAGGACAGTGGAATGGACCAACACCTTAGTCGCATCTGGCGTTAAATAGGGGCGGATGCGCGCAATGTTTTTGAGATGGAAATGACAGGATTTGGTGATAGATTGAACATTAGGCTTGAAGGAGAGGTTGGAGTCAAAGAGAACACCTAGGCAGTGAGCCTGCGTGGTGCAGTTGATAGTAGCACCGTTGACGTGGAGGGAGACAGACACAGGAGTAACAACACTTGAGGGAGGAAAGACCAGAATTTCAGTTTTGATCAAGTTTAGTTTAAGGATGTGGGCAGCCATCCAGTTAGAAACAGCAGAGAGGCAGTCAGAGACACTAGTCAAGAGGGACGGGGAGAGATCAGGAGAGGACAGGTAGATTTGCATGCCATCTGCATAGAAATGATATTGGAAGCCAAAGGAGCTAATGAGTTTACCAAGGGAGGCAGTATAGATGGAGAACAGTAGGGGACCAAGGACTGAACCTTGGGGGGCACCAACAGAGAAGAGTTGGGGAGAAGAAGTAGAGCCAGAGAAAGAAACACTGAAAGAGTGCTGGGAGAGGTAGGAGAAGCACCAGGAGAGAGCAATATCTTGTAGACCGATATTGCGGAGGATGAGAAGAAGCTGTTAATGATCAACAGTGTCAAAAGCCGCAGACAGGTCAAGGAGAATTAGGATAGAGTAGAGACCACGAGATTTTGCAGCGAGTAGATCATTGGATACTTTGGTCAGTGCCGTTTCCACAGAGTGCTTAGCGCGGAAACCAGACTGAAGCGGGTCTAGCAGAGAGTTGGACTCGAGGAAGTCTGTCAATCTCGCATACACAATTTTTTCAAATCAGGTTTGTTCCAGTAGATGATGGCAGTATTGCAAAACAGGATTATGTCATCTAGATAAATGATGGACTAAATTCCTAAAGACCTGAGATCCTGAGATAAGTCATGGCAGATTTAATCAATTTTGTGAAATACTGAGGCATGGAGCTTAGTCTATGAACCAGACACGTAAGTTGCCATGTTTGTAACTTCCATCAGAAGTGAAGGAATTGACGGCAGTCGGAATGAATGGGGACTATTAAATAAGCGCCTTTGAGATCCAGATACATGAACCAGTTCCAAGGCTGAAAGAAATATCAGAGGAGGTAAATTTCCTCCATTTTGAAGTGCTGATATTGCACATAAGTATTTAGATGACGTAGGTTTAAGACAAGGAAAAATTCAAAGCTTCTTTTTGACCAGGAAAATATTGCTGATATAACCTTCTCAGGACATAGCTGTTTCAATAGTGGCCTTTAACAGTAGAGATCGAAACTCCTCATTGATGAGGTCAGTCTGCTCTTAATCAGCCTGTGGTGGTGGAGGTGGCACATCTTAAACAGAACTGAAGATGAACTCTGTTGTATAACCTGGTATGGGTAGAGAAAAAACACATAAGGCACATATTGTACACTACCTGTGGCAAACATGACACAACATGTCCTCTAGCACCACAGCCTTAGATAGCACACCTTGAGGTTGGTACTAAAGCTTCGGGAATAAATGAAAATCCCTATAGGATGGATGTTGTATCCTCTGGGGCCTGATGGCCATCAAAAGCTGGATGCATAGCTCCTTGAATACCCAGCCCTGGAAAAGGCACTGAAAGGACAAACCATCTTCTTCAAATTATTCTAAGAGACATAAGGTTTACATGCCTCTGCAGTTCCTTGAAAAAAGCACTGCCAAATAATTGCTTTTATGCCACAGTGACCAACTCTCTGGTGACGTGATCTCTGAGTTTTGGATCTATTCTCAGCAAAGCCACCATGCGGTGCTTGGAGGAGAATGCTACATTTGAGTTCTCTAAAAGGCAAAAGCTCCTCTGTGGCCATTCTTACACGCAGTCAGCATCAAGAGATGTGCCCATAGATAATGCTTCATCTGTCAATACCAGAATCGTGATGCCTAGAATATCCAGCAGATTGTCTTGGGTGGACTTAAGGCCTTACTCTAGAATCTTACAATGGTCTCATCCATTCTTTTCCATAAAGATGACTAGTCCCATGTTGAACTCGGGTGTCCAAGTCCCTTTATCAGGGAGAGAAAGGCATGGGAATTCAGCCATAACTTATTTCTCACCTCTTTTTCTTCAGGTTTGCAAATCCACATGCACACAAATGCAATGATGTGAGATGGAGGAACCCATTCGCCAGATTGAGGATTATGGAACTGCCATGGATCAAACATGAGATCCACCTCAATTTCTTCAGCAGCACCACCTCATTTGGAAGTAAAATCAGAAGAATGGGGTTCACCAACAAGCGACTCCTTCACTCCTTCGCATACCTGTCATGGGATTTATATGAGGCATCCAAGGCCTTCCATTCATCCATTACTGAAAGAAACCCCAACTCCACCAGTATAACTGTGGATGGAAGAAAATAATCAGAATTTTTTTCTGCAAGGAGTAACAGAGATTCTCATGCTACTTTGTAGTAGTACTTATTTTGCCCCTTGGTAGTGGGAATTTATCCTTGCCTTTGGAAGACCATTAGCAGTGTCTTTTAGACAGGCACCTTCAGAAGCGTAAATAAAAGCATACATGACTCTGATGAGACATTGGCATGCTCATCCCCTTTACCTCCTTCCAATTGCACTAACTCCAAGTAAATAGAGAACCCCCATAGGGGTCACCCCTGTAGAGAAGGGGCTCAAGGCACTGCCAATGTTATTGTATAAACCCTCATAATTCATCCCTTGTTATTAATAAATGAACACTAACATTTTCATAGGAACACTTCTAAAAAGCACTGAAAGGACAAACCATCTTCTTCAAATTATTCTAAGAGACATAAGGTTTACATGCCTCTGCAGTTCCTTGAAAAAAGCACTGCCAAATAATTGCTTTTATGCCACAGTGACCAACTCTCTGGTGACGTGATCTCTGAGTTTTGGATCTATTCTCAGCAAAGCCACCATGCGGTGCTCGGAGGAGAATGCTACATTTGAGTTCTCTAAAAGGCAAAAGCTCCTCTGTGGCCATTCTTACACGCAGTCAGCATCAAGAGATGTGCCCATAGATAATGCTTCATCTGTCAATACCAGAATCGTGATGCCTAGAATATCCAGCAGATTGTCTTGGGTGGACTTAAGGCCTTACTCTAGAATCTTACAATGGTCTCATCCATTCTTTTCCATAAAGGTGACTAGTCCCATGTTGAACTCGGGTGTCCAAGTCCCTTTATCAGGGAGAGAAAGGCATGGGAATTCAGCCATAACTTATTTCTCACCTCTTTTTCTTCAGGTTTGCAAATCCACATGCACACAAATGCAATGATGTGAGATGGAGGAACCCATTCGCCAGATTGAGGATTATGGAACTGCCATGGATCAAACATGAGATCCACCTCAATTTCTTCAGCAGCACCACCTCATTTGGAAGTAAAATCAGAAGAATGGGGTTCACCAACAAGCGACTCCTTCACTCCTTCGCATACCTGTCATGGGATTTATATGAGGCATCCAAGGCCTTCCATTCATCCATTACTGAAAGAAACCCCAACTCCACCAGTATAACTGTGGATGGAAGAAAATAATCAGAATTTTTTTCTGCAAGGAGTAACAGAGATTCTCATGCTGCTTTGTAGTAGTACTTATTTTGCCCCTTGGTAGTGGGAATTTATCCTTGCCTTTGGAAGACCATTAGCAGTGTCTTTTAGACAGGCACCTGCAGAAGCGTAAATAAAAGCATACATGACTCTGATGAGACATTGGCATGCTCATCCCCTTTACCTCCTTCCAATTGCACTAACTCCAAGTAAATAGAGAACCCCCATAGGGGTCACCCCTGTAGAGAAGGGGCTCAAGGCACTGCCAATGTTATTGTATAAACCCTCATAATTCATCCCTTGTTATTAATAAATGAACACTAACATTTTCATAGGAACACTTCTAATTTATTTCAACTGGAGTTGAATTCAGAGAATTTAGAAAATAAGATATAATGAAATTGTCCATATAAACGTGACCCTCTCAGGATAAATTCAAGTGGCTTTTACCTTGAATGGAGATTCTTTATCTGAACATGGTACATACTGTATTAGATCATTTATTACCAGTAAGTCAATAAAAAAATGTATCTTGCTCTTTCAAAAATTTTTAAGGTTTTCAGCATTCTTTTCCCTATAGTGATGCTGCAAATGCATATGCAGGCAAGAACAATAGTTTTGAAAAATATGTCTTAGTCTTTGTAGTGTTTACCTTAAATTAGTAAAAATGGTAACCAAGGAAATTAATTTGAAGGATATTTACAATTAAATGCTAGATAATAGAACTTTTTTTTTTTTTATCATTTTCTGTACAAAAGTCTGATGCCATTTCTCATCCTAAAAAGGTGGAAAACTAATATTTGATTGTGTGCTTGATAGCTTTGAAATGTGCCTGATAGCTTTGAAATGTCTATATACTAAATATTTTGATTGTTAATTAAATAAAATAATATATTAAAACAAGCCATGTTTAATGACAATGTAGTCAACTAACATTATGATCTTTGCATTTCCTAGCCCAAAATGTATGGTAAATAAAAAAAATGTAGTTACTTTGATCCATGTCAACCATCCCTTCTTAACCAGTCACCTGGTAACATTTTACATGGAAGTAAAATTTAAATATCATAATATCAAAATAGTTTCCAGTGGTGGCTGACAATATTTTAAGATGGTGGGGGACCAGAATCCTCCCCTGGCATTGCACTCTGTCCATTCACTCTGCAGCCACCATCTTCTGATCTTCTGATTCAAAAGGCAAGTTAAGAGACATACAGGCGAAGATGCGTTTTGCCTTTCCCAAACAATGCATATTTACCTGTATGTCTCTTAGCTCCCCCTTTGAATTTCTTACACTCTTTTGTGTATCTCTTCCTCTCTATTGAATGTATTACCCCATTAAACCTATTTAGTGTATTTAATCCCCCCTTTTTTCTCTTTGTGTGTCATACAAGGCCAACGTGTGTTTCTTTCTCTCCCATTTGTGTCTCTTAATTTCCCCCTGTCCCTTTGTGTGTCTCTTTCTCCTCCCAGCCCTTTTGTGTCTCTTTATTCAGAAGCCCATTTTTTCTCCCCCAGTCTTTTGTGTGTGTTTTTTCCCCTTCCTCAGTTCCTCTATGTGTCTCATTCCTCCCTACAGCCTCTTATTTTCCCCTTCTTCTCTACGTGTCTCTTTCTCCCATTCCAAGCACCTGTTTGTGTCTCCCCAGACTCATTTGTGTGTCTCTTTCTCCTCTTGCCCAGCTAATCTGTGTGTCTCTTTGTCCCAACATTTGAACTGGACAAAGAGGGATACTTTAGGTTTAGAGGAGTGAGTGGCTGTCCTGAGAAATTGTAAGTCTCTAACTAATAATAATGTATACAATTAACATGTAATTTAAAAAATAACAAAAAAATTCTTATTTATACAGATTAAGTTCTAAACATAGCGGAACTACCGCCTGGACAGCCATTGCGGCTGCTCCAGGGCCTGCATGCTAAGTGGGCCCATCAGGTAGCCTATGCAGTTAGGAACATCTGTTTGCAATATATCCTGTAAATATGTCAGTGACGGAAGGAAGTGACAGCAGGTCACTTCCTCCCAGTTAACACAAAAGTGCAGCGGGGGGAGGGAGAGAGGAGCAGAGTGGGAGAATCTCTGACTCCCAACAGTCTCAGGCAGCCCATTTGACCCCAGGTAAGATAGGAAACAGGAGAGTGGCTTAAAATGTGTACATTTTGCATTTGTGTCTATATGTGTGTATGTGTTTCCATCGGTATGCTTGTCTTTATATCTTTGTGTCTGTATGTGTGTCAGTGTGTCTATGTATCTGCATATGTGTTTGTCTGTGTAGCTGCATGTGTGTAAACATGTGCATCTGTGTGTCAGTGTATCTGTATGTGTGTCTGTGTGTGTGTGTGTGTGTGTCTGTGTGTGTGTGTGTGTGTGTATCTCTATGTGTATCTTTGTTTGTATGTGTATCTGTATGATTGTGAATCTGTTTGTGTGTCTGTGTACCTGCATGTGTATCTCCATGTGTGCCAGTGTATGCCTTGTGTATCAGTATGTGTCTGTGTAACTGTAACCGTGTCAGTGTTTGTATCGGTATAACTGTCATTCTGTGTATCTGAATGTGTTCATTCTGTGTATCTGTGTTTTTTTTGTTTGTTTGTGTATATGTATATGTGGTAATGTGTGTGTGTGTATATCTGCATGTGTGTCAGTGTGTGCGCTTGTGTGTCTGTGCATCTGTATGTGTGTCCATGTTTATATCTGTATGAGTGTCATTGTGTGTATCTGTGTTTCTCTGTATATGCATATGTTTTATTGTGTGTGTATATGTATGTGTGCAGGGCCGGACTGGGAGAAAAATTCGGCCCGGGCATTTTTTTAACACAGCGGCCCACTAAGAAGGGGGCGGGGGCAGAGGAGGTGTGTTTTGTCATCACCAATGACAAACACGCCCCCTCTCAAAGTGAGCATGTTGGTTCAATGCTCTTCCAGGGCAGACCATGCGCAGAGCTCTGCTGAAGAGCTCTAGCATGATAAAAAAAAGCCCTGTATTTGTTCTGCACAGTGCAAGCAAATTTAATAACATGCTTGCACTGTGTTTCCTTGCAAATTGTCTCTGGTTTCTCTATAAAGATACCAGGAAACAAAAATGCCAGGAAAGAGTATTGTGCATGTGTTTGGAGCCTGCTTGTGGTATTGCGTGTGTGTAGAGTGAGCTGATTGTGGTGCGGTATTGTGTAATAAGGTTGGTTTTAGTCATGTTGTGTTTGTGGTGTAATGTGATGCATATGTGGCTAGGGGCTGTAGAGAATGTGTATAGGGGATATAGCAAGTGTGTGCATACAGGCTATAGTGTGTGTGTGTGTGTGTGTATATAGGTGATGTAGTGTATGTTTAGGGGTGTAGTATGTGTTTGCTTACAAGGAATCTAGTGTGTGTATAGGGGATCCAGAGTGTGTATGTTAAGAGTGTAGTGTGTGTGTGTATATATATATAAATATATATTTGGAAGTATTGTGTATGTGTGTGGTGCAGTGTGTTGAGGGGGTTCTGTGTGTATGTGAGGGGTGCAGTATGTGTGTCTGAGGGGTGCGGTGTGTGATGTGTGTGAGAGTGCGGTGTGTGAGAGTGCTCTGTGTGATGTGTGTGTGTCTGATGAGTGTGAGAGTGCTGTGTATGATGTGTGTGAGAGTGCCGTGAGTGAGTGCCGTGAGTGCTGTGAGAGTGCTGTGTGAGAGAGTGCTGTGAGAGAGTGCTGTGTGAGAGAGTGCTGTGTGAGAGAGTGCTGTGTGAGAGAGTGCTGTGTGAGAGTGCTGTGTGAGAGTGCTGTGTGAGAGAGTGCTGTGTGAGAGTGCTGTGTGAGTGCTGTGTGAGAGAGTGCTGTGTGAGAGAGTGCTGTGTGTGAGAGTGCTGTGTGTGAGAGTGAGTGCTGTGTGTGAGAGTGCTGGGTGTGAGAGTGCTGTGTGAGAGTGAGTGCTGTGTGAGAGTGAGTGCTGTGTGTGAGAGTGAGTGCTGTGTGTGAAAGTGCTGGGTGTGAGAGTGCTGGGTGTGAGAGTGCTGGGTGTGAGAGTGCTGGGTGTGAGAGAGAAAGTGCTGTGTGTGAGAAAGTGCTGTGTGTGAGAGTGATGGGTGTAAGAGTGCTGTGTGTGATAAAGAGTGCTGTATAAATGTTAGAATGGATTGTGTGTGTAGGGGGGAGGGGGGTTAAATAAATAAAGTAGGCATTATGTCCCCCCTCCCTTCTTACCTTTAGCCTGGGAGGGGGGGACCGGCACACTGATCCCTGGGACTGGGAGGGGGGGTTCCCTGGTGGTCCTTGTGGTGAGATCCGGTCGTTGCCATGGCAACGCGCCGGATCTCGCGAGAGGAACCCGGCGGAGTTCTAATTTAGAGCTCCGCCGGGTCCTCTCTCCTAGCGGCTGTCTCCCTCCCTCTCCCCCTGCCCGCGGCCGCATTATACAGCATGTGGGCCGGTGAGGGAGATCTTTGATTTCCCTCACCGGCCCTTCATGGAAAACAGCGGGGCCGGCGCTCGGATAGTGCCGGCCCTGCATAGACCGGCAGGGGAGATCCTGGGACCTCCCCTGCCGGCCTCGGCCCCACGGCCACCGCGGCCCACCGGGCATTTGCCCGGTATGCCCGATGGCCAGTCCGGGCCTGTATGTGTGTGTCATGGTAGTTTACCCCAACTCCCAAGATTTAGTCCAACAATTGACAATATAGAGCAGATACGTCTTACCGGACCTTACAATGGCCAGACTCGCCGTAGAGCAGAGAAAGACAGAGTCAGGAATGAGCCGAGGTCAAGGGTACAAAGAGACAGCGAAAACAAGAACTAGCCAAGGTCTGGTACACAGTAATCAGTAAGCCGGCAAACAAGACAAAACAGGGATAAAGAGATAAACGGAGTCAGATCCAAAGCCAAGGTCAAGCACGAAAAACTCACAACTGAACACAACAAGCGCTAAAGGGAACTGAAACAGAAACCACAATAGGGCAGGGAGTTAAGGGAGAGGTAAGTATAAATACCCTAGCCTTTAATTTGATTGGCCCCTGTCATATCCACGCCCCCAAAATGTGAGTGTATGGGAAATGTGGGATGAGAGGGGCCAATGGGAGACCGTTGTACATTTCGGCTCCCACTGTCCCTTTAAGTGTGTGCCCGAGATGCGCGTCGTGCTCTTAGAGCTAGGCGGGACACGTGACCGCATCTTGCGGTCAGTGCCCGCCTTCATCTGAGCTCTGAGCGAGCCGCGTGCGACTCGAATAGAGGACCTCGGCCGGGCCCCGGATAAGGTAAGTACCGCTACAGTGTGTTATTGCATGTATCTGTGTGCCTGTGTATCTGCATGATTGTCAGTGTGTGTCTGTTTATCTGTATCTGTGCTAGTGTGTGTCTATACAACAATAAGGATAGGCTTTCACTATAGTATTTAAAAAAATAAAATAAAATAATAAAAAAAAAAAATAATACAGGCAACAGTAAACAATATAAGGAAAAAAAAAACATTTTATACTATAGTATACTGCACCCAGTTTGAGTATACAAATATTATACGTACATAGGTCTTCAGATAATTTAACACAGTTAACCTCCGACAAAAAATAAATAAAAAAAATAGTGCAGCACAGTATGGTGTATATAGGTGATGAGCTTGTAATCTCATAAATCTTACACTTTTTATTGAACTAATTTAGAGCTCTGCTGTTTTGCGCATGGACAGAATAATCCCCATCTAAGGATATGTAATGACGGGGGGAGAAATTGACATGGGGGAAGAAAGAAATTGACGGGGGGAAAAATTGACATGGGGAAGAAAGAAATTGACGGGGGGAGAAATTGACATGGGGGAAGAAAGAAATTGACGGGGGGGGGAGAAATTGACAGGGGGAGGAAGAAAGAAATTGACAGGGAGGGTGGGGAGAAATAAATTGACAGGGAAGGGGGAGAAATAAAAGGGAAACCACGACAGGGCACTGAACTGGATGAGAACTGGGCCTAAATACCCCTCCTCTAGATCTGATAGGCTGTAACCGTCCTTTGACCCCAAAGGCAGTTACCAGGTTTCCATTTGCATAATTGCTGCTCAGCATTAACCCTTCTGTGGATTTGGTTGCTGCTCGGCACAACTTTTCCTGTGTGGACAGTAAATGCCATTAACCACATTTTTATAAGTGGATGAATACGTAACATTACCCCCCACCTGAAGAACCCCACCGGACGGGCAGGACAAGGCTTGAGAGGAAACTTGGCGTGAAAATAGCGACTCTTGCGGCCAGCATGAATATCAGATGCTGGAACCGAAGAACCATCGGCTGGTCCATAACCTTTCCAATCCACAAAGTACTGTAAAGTGCTCTGAGAAAACCTGGAATCAATTATGGAAGAGACCTCATACTCTTCCTGTCCAGAAACAACTAAAGAAGGAGGAGGGACACTTGAGACAGTATATTTATTGCAAACAAGAGGTTTGAGTAGCGACACATGAAAGGTATTTGGAATACATAATGAGGCCGGGAGGGCCAGAGAATATGACACAGGGTTAATCCTCTGAAGGATACGAAAGGGGCCCAGGAATCTGGGTGCAAACTTCATACTAGGAACTTTCAATTTGATGTTGCACGATGATAACCATACCCTGTCACCCACTTGGTAAACGGGGTTGGCACCACTCCGTTTATCCACATAGAACTTGAAACGATCAGCCGCAGTTTTGAGAGCGGAATGAACTTTGGTCCAAGTGTCACGGGTAGAAGAAAGATGATCATCCAAAGCAGGGATAGTTGTCTCGGAGAAAACAGCCAGCAGGACAGTAGGATGACGACCGTTATTAACAAAGAATGGGCTGTGACCAGAAGAGTCATGGATTGCATTGTTCCTAGCAATCTCGGCCCAGGGTAGTAATTCGGACCAATTATCTTGAGTGCTATTTACAAAACAACGCAGATATAACTCAAATGACTGGTTAGCCCTCTCAGCCATGCCATTAGTTTGGGGATGGTAAGCGGAAGAAAAAGACCCAACTGTTTACTGAACACCCTTCAAAACTGAGACACAAACTGAGAGCCCCTATCAGACACAATATTGTGAGCAATGCCATGCAGTATACAGATAACAACCAGGTCTTGAGAGGATGGCAATTTTTTAAGTGGAATAAAATGAGCCATCTTGGAGAAACGGTCAACCACTATAAGAATGGTGGTATAGCCATTGGAACTTGGAAATTCAACGATGAAGTCCATTGACAAGTGGGACCATGGAACACTAGGTACAGGAAGTGGTTGCAACAAACCACAAGGAAGTTTATGAGGGACCTTAGAAACAGCACAAACTGAACAAGCCTGCACATAGTCCTTCACATCGTTTTTAAGGGAATCCTACCAAAATGATCTCGTGATCGCAGCAGTCACATTGTCATGAAACACCCTCAGCACATTCTTTCTTTCACCTAATGGAACAAACAATTTGTCCAGTGGTTTATTGCATGGTGCCTGGACTGAGCCTCCATTATAGAACCAAGCAAGGGAGAAGACAGTGAAAGAACAGTAGAAGTGATGATACATTCAGGAGGCACGATAGGGGATGTCTCGTGTTTCTGTAAAGACTAAGTATCAAACTGTCTAGACAAGGCATTAGCCTTCACATTTTTGGGGCCAGGTCTGTAAGTTATAAGGAAGTTAAAGCGAGACAGAAACAAAGACCATCTTGCCTGTCTAGTAATGATCAAAAGGGATCCTTGGAACCTTCCAAAAGATGTTGCCACTCTTTAAGCGCTAGGACAATGGCCAACAATTCTCTGTTGCCAATATCATAATTGCGCTCAGCGGGAGACAACTTTCTGGAAAAGTAACCACAGGTATGCAAAGGGCTGTCCTGACTCTACCTTTGAGAAAGAACCGCCCCACCCCATTTTCAGAGGCATCGAAGGGTTTGCTGGTGTCAGGGTGTTTCAGTATGTCGGCAGAAGCAAACCTTTGTTTAAGAAGTTCAAAAGCCTCTCTAGCTTCCTTAGACCATTCCGTACTACTAGCCCCCTTACGTGTCATATTGGTGATGGGGGCTATTACAGAAGAAAACCCCTTGATAAATCTTCTGTAATAGTTCGCAAACCCAATAAATCTTTGGATGGCTTTTAGTCCGCTAGGTACTGGCCACTGTATAACAGCCTCTAGTTTATTAGGGTCCATCTGAAAGCCAGAGGCAGAAATTTTATACCCCATAAACTGTACTTCAGTCTGATCAAACAAACATTTTTCCAATTTACAATAAAGTTTGTTTTCCAGTTAAGTCTGCAATACTTGTTTGACCTGTTTGTGGTGGGTTTGAAGGTCAGGGGAATAAATAAGGATATCATCCAAATAAACCAGAACAAAAGAATAGATATAATCCCTGAGTACAACATTAATAAAATCCTGGAATATGGCCTGTGCATTGCATAGCCAAAAAGGCATAACAAGGTACTCATAGTGCCCACATCTA